ATGAGTACCAAACTCCACAGCTGCCCAAGACCTTTATATAAAATGGCATATTTGCATGGAATCCTTCTGGATACTTTAAATTCTCCCACTTACTTTATTTTTAAATTATTTTAAATTATTTTAAATTATATGTTTGTATGTGGGTATGTGCGCATGATTGCAGGTGCCCACAGAAGTTGGAGGCTTCGCATTCTCCTGGAGCTGGAGTTATAGGCAGGTGTCAGCCACCTGATGTGGGTGCTGGGAACTGAACTCAGATCAGTTCAGGTAACAGCGTTATGCTCTCTTAACTGCTGAGCCAGCTCTCCAGCCCCCTCCCATATATTTTAAATCACCTGTAGATTATTTGTCATACCTGGGATATTGAGAGCTGACTGTAGATATAAACATATATACATATAAAACCCACAAATACATATACCTCAAAATTTTATTACTGTTGTTTGATCTAGTCAATATTTGCTTACATGTAACCATATGCTGATTTTTTTGTTGCTTTTCCTTTTTCATCTCTAAGGTTCCCTTTGGGATCATTTTCCTTCTGAATTCTCTTTAATATTTTAGATTAGTACAATTCGGTTGCTAATAAATTCTCTTAGCTTCTGTTTGCCTGAAAATATCTTCATATTTGAAGGTTATTTTCACAGGAATTTGAATTCTTGGTTTGTAGTTAAACACTTTGAAAATATGCTATCGTCTTCTGAGTTCTTTTTCTTGAGAACCACAGGTTTTATTGGTGTCCCATTAAAGGTAATATTTCTTTGGTCCCTGGCTGCTTCTCAGACTTTTTTCTCTTTCTTTGTTTGAAGCAGTTTTATTGTGACATACCTAGAGGTAGCTCTGTGTTTATATGTGTATATTTATTCTGCTTAGTTTTGTAAGGATTTTTTTCAGTCTAAGTTTTAATGCCATTTATCAGCTTTGAGAGGTTTTCAGATGTTCTTTCTCACACTGCTTCCGCCCTATTCTGTCACCTCTCTTGGAATCACACAAATTCACCACATCCCAGAAGTCTCCCCTTGCCTATATGTTTTGAGAGAGGGTTTCATTTGGTTCAGGCTGGCATCAAACTTGCTTTGTAGCCAAGGACAGCTTTGAATTCCTGCCTCGGTTACCCAAGTATTGGGATTATAGGAGTGCATCACCAAGCCTGGCTCCATATTCTCTTATATGAATCAAATCTTCCGTCATTTTGGCTTTCAGTGCTTAAGTCTGGATTTTCTTCTGACCCATCTTTCAGTTTACTAATTATTTCTTCAGCTGTGTTCTAATCTGCTCTTAAGTCTGCTCATTGAATTTTAAACTCACTATATTTTCTGTTCTAAACATTGACTTGCTTCTATTATCAACATTTTCCACTTGGCCTCTTAGATACATTTATCACATAGTGTTTTTTCAAATTTTATGTCTCATAACAACAGTATTTGTTATAGGACTCTCTATGGTTACTAAAAACCAAAAGAAGTAACAAAGAATTCTTGGTTTAAGTATTCTATTTTTGGTTGAGTGCCAGGTGTTAAGTATCAAACACTGATGTGATCATTTGAGTCTCTTAGATGATGTTTTCCTCCAGAGAGTTTACTTTTGCTTCTGGTATGTGGTTGAACTGGGAGCAGACCATGTAAATCTAATCAGGGAAGGAGCTGTTCAGAGATGGCCTTGGTCCTTGTCATAGTTTGAGTAATTCAGTGTTGTTGTTGCAAAGGTTCCCAGCTCAAAATGTGGTTTGATAACCAGGACTCTTTTCCTTTCCTGGGCTCTGAATTTCAGTTTGTGTCCTTTCTTCCACATGATAATCACTAAACTTCTTTAGGATTCCCAAGATTTTTAGCCATAAAGTTCCACTCTGCATCTCAGCCCAAGAATCCACTTTGTAATGTGGATCGAGGCAGCAGTTCAGCCATAGAGTGCTTGCCTATCATTCATGAGATCTTGGGTTTTAGCTTCAGCACCACATAAACCAGGCATGGTGGTGTACCTTGTACTCAGGGGGTTGAGGCAGGAGGGTCAGAATTCAAGGTCATTCTCAGTTATACAACATAGTGAGTTACTTTTTAAAAAAACTTGGCAAGTGCTTTGAAGTTTGTCTTGCTTCTCTGGGTATCCTTTCATTCTGAGATCTTGATGACATAAGTCCTTTATTACACTGGTCACTTTAGAATGCACACACACAATGTATATAATATATATCATAATATATGTAATGTAATATATAATATGTAATGTGTGCATCTATTAATGACTTGGTCTATTTCCCAGGCTGCTCTAGGTCTCCTGGGCTCGTAGTAAGCCCCCTATCACAGCCTTCCAAGGAGCTGGGCAGGTGCATGTGCATTCCATCATGCCTAATTCAAATTATTGTTTTCATATTTTATCTAGATACATACCTACATTTAACCACATGAAATTTACTATTTTTATATGTTAAAATGGGCATTGCATGACACAGGCACACTTACCTACATGCAGGCAATACACTCATACACATAAAATAAAAATAAATAAAATATTTTAAAAATGGTTGCAAATTGGGATTATAATGTCATTCAATAAAAATTCTTCTTGGTGGGAGGGTTGGTCTGAAATAAACTATTAGACTTGAGTTCTCAGAATCTCGGGTTAAAGTAACAGACTGCGATTAGAATGTTGGATATGTATACCACAAAGATAGCTAATATATACATGTAATATATTCATGTATAATGTACATTCCCCAAAGAACATTCTTCCTATGGAATAAGGTACATTTCATGCTTTTTTCAGAGTCAAGTTTAGATGTCAAGTTAATGGCCAAAAGTCTCAATGTAACAAAAAATCCTGTGTACCTAAAAATTTTATTGCTAGAAAATTATCCTTAAAAATGTGTAACTCATTTTTCCCATGTTTCTTTTCCTGAAGGATTGCTTATGGATGCCCAAATGCATTAAGCTTGGATGGTTTCTGCCCTACACTCCAGCGCAGAACGAATACGGAGCTTGGAAGCGCCATTATATTGCTTGTGTGTCCAACTTGGATTGGCTAACGCCCAGGGAAGCAGCTGCTGTTTATGGGACATTGAATGAACCCAAAAGAGAGGATGAGGAGCTCCAGGAGAGGCAAAGAGAAAAGTGCCTGAGGAAAATAATTTGGGAGAAAATTGCATTTCATAAGAGTGAGTAGCACTTAAAAACTTTCTATGTTGTTCAGGAACTACGCAAACCAATGGGTTTCCATATAGACGCTCACACAGGAGAGCATGTGGGAAACTCACTAACACATATTCTCAGAGCCAGCTCTTAGTTTTCTTTACTATGTATTTTCAGTTAATTGGTAACAAAAGAAGGCATTTCAGATGAAATATATGAGGTCAAGTATCTGCCTCCACTGCTGTCCATTTCCTCCAAGATTCCTAAGAGCATAAACAAGGAGGGAGTCTGGGAAATGACCCAGTCAGTGAAGTGCTTGCTATGTAAGCATGAGGACCTGAGTTAGAATCCACATCATCCACATTTAAAAAAAAGCTGTTCTTGGCTGTGTGTGCCTTGCAATCCCAGTGCTGAGGAGAAAGAGAAAGGGGGATCCTGGGAACTTCCTGGCTAACCGGTGTATCAGAATCAGCCTCTGGCCTTTACCCATGCATGTACATCCAAACACACCTGCGCACACACACACGTACACATGCATAAGCCATACACTCATCATAGGAGGAAGAAGTGCAGACACAGGCAAAAACCAAGAAGTAAATACAGGACAGCAGAATTGGGACTGATGAAAAGCAGAGAAATGAACGTGGGAATGACAGCGAGGAGGGTGATTTCTTTTTAAAAAACAAAAAGAAAATAGGGACATATGTTCAGCTAAGCCTTCTGATTTGCACATTGTGCAAAAATGTGTAATAATCGGGCTTGGTCTCTCCTGCCTTTTCACTAACTCATCCTCTGGAAGATTGAAACAAAAGGGAAATTCCCTGCAGCCAAGAAGGGCAGAAAGGGATGGGAAACCTATGGACTGATACCTGGTTCCCACAGAAGGAGTTTCTTGTTCTTTGAGCTTTACTGCTTGATCCAAAATAACTAATAGCTCAGCCTCCATGCTGAGCAAATAAAAAATCCTATCGGGGTGTGTAAAAGTGACTATGATTATTGTCGTTTGGAATCCTGCCCCGGTTTAGATTTCTTTTTGATGCCTTGCTCTGTGTCACATTGGCTGGGAGACGTGTGAAGTAAACAGGGAGCCTGCTGCTGTTTGTTTTTCAGAAGAGTTATTCAAAGCTCGACCCCCTTGGGTGAGTGGAACATGCTGCTCCAGATCGCTGAAACCCCCATGCCAGCCGCATCTCTCTCAGACGTGGAGAGCAGAGTTCTATGGAGCTTTGGAGAAACGGCTTGTTCTGGCATCCTTAGAAGCTTTGCCCAAGAGGTGCGCAAACTTCCATTTTACTGAGGGCTTGGGCTTCTCCTGTGTGACCAAGAACTCATTATAGAATCACTGAGCCAACACAGGGGTTGGAGAGATGGCTCATCGGAAGAACACTAGCTGCTCTTTCAGAAAACCTGGGGTTCTGTTCCCAGCACCCACAAGGTGGCTAACAACCATCTGGAACTCCAGTTCCAGGGGATCCGTTGCCCTCTTCTGACCTCTGTGGGCATTGCATGACATGGTATACTTGCATGCAGATAATACACTCATACACATAAAATAAAGATAATAAAAATATTAAAATGCTTTCTGAAGAGGAAAATATGCAATATTCAAACCTTATATTTAATATATATTTTTTAGCCCTGCAGTGAAGTTATATTGTGGCTATAGTACATTAAATAAAGTTGTTGAGCAAAAAATCCATCATCTTTTCACATGTTTATGGAGTAAGAGTAACCAAGCAGTATCTTCGTTAGTCAGCCTTCCATTGTCCTAACAAATGCTTGAGAGGAAGAAAGGTTTATTTTACACTTAAAAGGTTTATTTTACAGTTAAAAGGAGGAACTCATGGCTGTATGGCCACTTGGCTCATGGCTTTGGGCCTATAGTAACACAGAGCATCATGGTGGGAACACATGGTACGAGAGGCCTCTTCCCCTTATGGTGCTTGGGAAGTGAAGAGAAAAAGATGAAGTGTCTGGGGTCCCAATAGCCCTTTGAAGAACACATCGATGATCCAAGTTCCTTCCATTAGGCCACCTCTTCTTGAATGTGCCCCCACCTCCCAAGAGCACCAAGACCAGTGACCAAACCATTAACACCTGAGCCTTTGAGGAACACTTTAGATCCAAACTCTCACAGTATTAAAACAGGTAAGAACAAGACTCCCATTTGTATTTGTAAATCCAACTTTCTTTTACTACCCAAATTAGAGAAATTCTGGCTGTATTCAGTGACCCAAGTCATAATATAATATAATAACATTACCAGGATTCAATTCTTACTCTACTCACTCTACCTGATGCTCATAACTACCACAATTTACAGTTGCTTAGAAACTAAGAAAAGTTTTTACTCTGATTCTAAAAATTGCATAATTTGACTCACATTTCAGATAAAGAAACCGAAGCCTAGACAGGTGACATAACTTGCCCAACTATCATAATGTAAACACTAGAACCCCAGTCCTCAAATTCGAACATTCCTACAATTTCACACATTGATACCACATGCAGATTTGCGCCTGGACAATTGAGAATGTGAGATTATATTTTACTCATTCAGGGCACACAAGAAATTTAAGAAGCATAGGGCAGCTCCTGTTCTTGGTGCTGTGGGGGTAAGGGCTGTGGAGAGAGTGGAGACATTTTTCAGAAAGACCTAAAGACCAGAAATAAATTAGGAATCTCTTGGCTACTCCTTTTTAGACATATTTTGAACCTCTAGGTGCATGGTGACATTTATTTTAAGTGCCCAAAAAAAGCTAAATGAGTTCCAAGAGACCATTCCCCATAGGACCCATGGGGCAGATTTCGCTCACCCCAGCCTGGGGCCTCTATTTGTTGCCATACCCCAAACTCCTGGGAGAGTCTAAGAGCCGAAGGCCAGTGACCTTCAGTATGGCTTGTGTCAAGAAGGCATTGGTCCTTTCTTATCAAAAGCCATGTTAGAAGAAAATCAGGATTTCATCAATTCTCCTCTTGTCCCTACAGAAGCAATGTCTCTGGAAGCCACTCCTACCCTTTATTATTAAAGCGAAATCATCGAGGGGGTTTTAAAACTGATGGCACCTCTCATTGTGCTTCAACACTGCACGTCATGCTGATATCATCGAGGATCCCAGCATACGAGGTGCGCCTGCGCTAGGATCCCAGCCCTTTCCTAAATGGCCTTTTCATCTACATTAGAACAATCTTTTGACTCTGTGTGCATGAAAATTATTCATCTAAAATCAAAATCAACTAATCCAGGTGAACATCTATGGACTCCAAACAGTTTTAGAAATTGGAAGCAATAAAAATAAACATCATCAAACTTATTTTCAAAAAGCATGAGAGGTCCAAATTGTTGTGCAATTCAAATGCTCCTGTTGAATTGAATTTATTGCACTTAATAAAAAAAACAGCAGGATGATTAAAAATTATTTTTAAACTTCTCCAGAATTCCCAAAGAATTTAGTATTATATGACCAAATAGCTCTCAAAAGAAGTAGTCTTTTGTGATCAACTTAAACAGGATGCCATTAAATTGAAATATGCCCTTCATAAAATGAAGTTATAGCTGGTGATTGTGGCATATACCTGTAATTCATGCACTCAGGAGGCTGAGGCAGGAGGATAGCTGAGAGTTTGAGGCCAATCTGGGCCATATAGAAAATATCAGGTAAGCTAGGATTTTACAGAGAGACTCTGTCTCAAAATATACAAATAATTAAATTAAACAAAGTTATGTATTTTAATTACATATAATTAAAAGATTTTCAATATACATAAGGAGTTCATTGCAAAATGGTATGAACTCTATTTGATATTTTTTTTATAAATTGTGCATATGTCTCTGTGTATGGTGTATACAAAGACAAAATGCCAGAAAAAATAACTTAAGTCATTAATACTATTTGTCTGAATGACAGAGTTACAAATGAACCCGTTTTTTCCCTCATTTAATTAGAAAAGAAAAAGAACACAGTGGAGAAAGTTTGTTCTTCTTTCCATAATTTCTGAAAAAATTCTCTAGAAACGACAGTATATTGGCTAGCCACTGTAGTTCTTTGCCTAATGAATGTTCTACAGTCACAGACATTATTTTTTTTTATAGCTCTGGTTTCATTTTCTAGATGGTGGTGGAGGGTGTTAAGGCAGGTGTCACGGCTATGGTGTATGAACACAGTGGTGTGACCTTGGAGGGCCTGCTTTATCTCATAGAAACAGCGCTGCAAGGGCGGAAGGCACAGAGCATGGGAATATTTAGCAGTGGAGACAGCAGAGAAATCAACTTACTCCAAGGTCAGTTGGGGATTGGCAAATAACCATACAACTCTGTACTTAATGCAGTATTTGTCCACAAGTGTGACTTTCACAGTACAATTATGTTCTGATGTGCTAGGAAGCATTCATTTTGTCTGTTTGAAGAAGTGGAACAACTTTTGATAACAATCTTAAAAACTGTGATTAAGCCAGGAGTGGTGGCACATGCATTTATTCCCAGCACTCAGGAGGCAGAGGCAGGTGGAGCTCTGTGAGTTCTAGGTTAGCCTGGTTTATTTAGTGAGTTCCAGGCTATCCTGGGCTACATAGTGAGACCCTGTCTCAAAAAGAAATGTGACTAAACACAACATAAAAGCTGTCTTGGGGCTGGAGAGCTGCCTCAGCAGTTGAGAGCATTGACTGCTCTTGCAGAGGACCCCGGTTTGATTCCCAGCACCCACATGGTGGCTATGAACCGTCATTAACTCCAGTCCCAGGGGAATCTGAAGCCCTCTTCTGACCTCCGTGGCATTGCATGACATGGGTGCACTCACATACATGCAGGCAATACACTCATACACATAAAAAAATAAATAAAAAATAAAAGCTATCTTATCCTAGTGTGGTAGCACACACCTTTAATCCCAGTGCTCAGGTGGCACAGGCAGGTGGATTTCTGGGAGATCAAAACCAGCCTGGTCTACATAGTGAGTTCCAGGCCAGCTGTGACTACAGTGAGAACACTGTACTACTATCTTAACCATTTTAAACTGTACGATAGTATACACACATTCTTTTTTTGAATATTTTATTTATTATTTTTATTCTATGTGTATGAGTACATTGCCTGTGTGTATATAAGTGCGCCCATGTCGTGCAATGCCTATGGAGGCCAGAAGAGGATGTCAGATCCCTTGGAATTGGAGTTATGGACTGTTGTTAGCTGCCATGTGGGTGCTGGGAACTGAACCTGTGTCTTCTGCAAGAGCAAATAGTACTCTTAACTGCTGATCCATCTCTCCAGCCCCTATACTCACATTCTTATAAATCATCTCCTCACAACCTTTTCATTTTGTAAAGCTGAGACTTTGTATTAAAGAATACCTTTCTTTTTCTCTTAGCCATGTCCCCTGACAACCATCATAAACTTTAAATATATAAATGGAATCACTTGTGTTTGCCTTTTTTTTTTTTTTTTTTTTTTTTTTTTTTTTTTTTTTTGTCTTTTTGATGCAGGGTCTCTCTGTAGCCCCAGCTGGCTTAGAACTCACTATGTAGACCAGGCTGGACTAGATCTCACAGGTATCTGCCTGCCTCTGCCTCCCGAGTGCTAGGATTAAAAGCACATGCCACCATACCTGGCTGTGTTTTTCTTTTTTGACTGGTAATTTTCACTTACTGTAATGTTTGCAAACTTCATAAGTTGTAGCAATTGATTTTTTTCCCTTTTAAGGCTGAACAATATTCTACTGTAAGCATGTGCTACATTTTGTTTATTACTCAATCCACTGGTGGTCATTTGGGTTACTTTCACTTCTTGGCTATTCCAAATAACTGCAACTCTCCTGAGTGCTTGCTTTCAATTATTGTGGATATAAACCCAGATGTATGATTGCTGGATGACATACTTGCTCTGTTTCTAGTTTAAGAAACCTCTATAATGGCTGTACCGACAATTATGTTGTGCCAACTATGTACAAGCATACCAGTTTCTCTACACCACTTACTTGTTATAGATTTTTAAAATAGTCACTCTCATTGTGGTTTTGATTTGCATATCTTTGATGATGAGTGATGCTTAGCATCTTTTCATGTGATTGGTGGTCATTTAAATATTTTCTTTATGGAAATGTCTATTTAAGTCCTTTGCTTATTAAAAAGATAGACCTGGGTTCAATTCCCAGCACCCACATGGCGGCTATGAACCATCCTTAACTCTAGTTCCACGGGAATCCGAAGCCCTCTCTGACCTCTGTGGCATTGCACAACACGGGTGCACTCACATACATGTAGGCAATACACTCATACACATAAAATAAAAATAATAAATACAATATTTTTTTAAAAAAATAGAACAATTTTTTTAATGTAGGTTGAGTTGCAGGAGTTCTTTATATATTCTAGATGTTAAGCCCTTATTAGATTTGTGATTTTCAAATATTTCCTCCCCTTCCATGGGAAATCCTTTTTACTCTTGTATCTTTTAATGTATAAATGATGAAAAACAAAGTAATTTCAACAGCAACAAATACCAAAATGTATAAATTGATGTGGACTGGTCGCTCCTGCCAAGCTCCACTTGTGAAACAAGGGGATGGCTGACATGATTGACTTGTGGGAAGCTTTCAGAAACCAGAGTGCTAACCCCTGAGGGGGAGAAGATGACAAAAAAGTCTTAAGTAAACCTTCAGTGTCTAGCCTTCTGTATATAACTTGCATTCTTCCTTGTTTATATCTGAAGTAAAATTGTTTTAATTTTATTAGCATCAAAACTTCCATCCATGAGGGAAAAGGGAAGAGGGAATGAAGATGGTCAAGGGTCCACTTGTTGGGGACCATGTAAAATGACAGAGCAAATCACTGAATCACTTCCCAGGCAGTGGGAGAAGAGGAGAGTTTGAGTTGATGTTTGCCAGTTCTGGGAGATTTTGTTCTGTTCTGAACTTCTTATTTTTTCATTGACAATTGTGGGAAGTTTTTCCATTTTGGAAATTAGTTGGAAGGTCCCAGGACTCAACTGACCATTCACTCTAAAATCTGCCGGAGCCTGGTGACTTGCCATGCTGCATGGTAGAGGCAGAAACACGATGTCCAAATGCACAACCTCTTACTAATACGGAGTGTGAAGGAGCCCGTGACCTCAATGCTGTCCAGTGAATCATATTTGTCACCGAAGCATGGTATTGCATGAAGCAGAGGTGCCCTGGTGATCTTGTTCTTATGGACAAATGCTGGGATTTGAATTTGTGATTGCATTTTTCACGGCCTGCCAAAAGTCTCTGTTCATGATGATGGTACAAACTAATGTGCATTTTATTTTTCCCTCAGGCTATAAAATTGGAATTAAAAATTTACTGAGGCCTGAAGTGAGAGACTTCTGGGAGAAATTAGGAAGCTATGTGGCCACCGAAGAGGAAGGGGGACATGTAGACTTCTTTGTGCCACTGGGAGCATCAGGTCAGCTTTGTCACTCTCTAGAAGGCAGGAGTAATGCCCACTTACGATAATATTTTGTGTATTTCTGAAGTGCCTTCATAAATGAACCCATTAAATTCTTGTATCCGTGGTTTCTTTTTATCACTGGGAATTATTGCATGGAACACCATTAGATGATATTTGAGTCATTTGCAGCTTCTGGTTTTCATAAACGTAGTTGCTGTACACATATGTGTGAGTGTGTACATTCATCTCTCTTGACTACATAAGAGCTCAGTGGTACCCATTTAACTTTTAAAAAGCCAGCTAAACTGTCTTCCAAAGTGATTGAATGAATTTTTTGGGTTTTTTTTTGTCTTTTTGAGATGGGGTCTCCCTGCAGCCCCAGCTGTCCTGGAACTCACTAGGTAGACCAGGCTGGCCTCCATCTCACAAAAATCTGCCTGCCTCTGCCTCCCAAGTTCTGGGATTAAAGGCCTATACCACCACACCCAGCTCCAACATGATTGAATCTTTTTACATTTCCAGTAAATGTATATGAAAACTCTAGTTGTTCAACACTGTGACTTTAAGTTACTTTAATTTTAGGCATTCCAGAAGATCCCTAGAGATTTCTCACTGTAGTTCTAATCTGCAGTTTCCTGATGATTGATGGTTCTGATTATCTTTGTAGGAACGTAATGGTCACGTACATATCTTCCTCAGCAAAGTCTCTGTTCAAATATCCTGCACATTTTAAAAAGTAGACTATTTTCCAGTTGATGACTTATATTTTCTATCTCTGAATAGTTTCTTTTGAGTAGCTGAAGTTCTTAATTTTGACGAAATCATATACTTTTTTTACTTTTATAAATTATACCCTCAGTAACGTATTTTTTTA